AAGGAAAAACTAGATTTAATTACTAATGGTGAGAGCTCAAAGACAGGAAAGAAGATATTGAAGTTACAGGCGAGAAAGCATAAGCAAAAACAGAGGTCGAAGAAAAAGTATTCGAAGGATTCTAATGATGATACTAGTGAGGCGGATAGGCACTCTGGTTTGGAACCGACAGTTTCTGATGAAGGCAAATGACAAGTGTAATTTTCTTTGAGCTTCGTATTTTTTGTGTTCATTCAGGCTAATAAAGAAAATATTGATTTGAAGGCTGTATATAAGTTGATAGAAAATTTGGTGTTTCATTTCTCCATGAGGAGAGCATGGGACGAAATCTTCCATTTTGGTCCTTTCATATGTTCTCACATGGTTAAAAAACAAACATTAATTTCTTTGCTGCCAATACTTAAAACAACCCAAGGTTTGGCAAAGTCAATATAACCTAGTAAAACCCTGGATGGAAAATATACTACCTATACTGGCTGTATTGCTTGGCGCCGTTAGCTCTTAGCTAGTTTTATTCTCTTATAAACACTTTTCGCCAGCTTCACAATTATAATAACCGAAAGAATAGACCAAAATATCGCTCCGATAATTAAAACCGCAAGTGAGCTTATTTCCTTTTTGTGCTGTAAATGGTAACTGTCCGCAGCGTCGTGATTGAATTGCCTAAATTTAGCCTGAAGAACACCACTTCATCCTCAATCACAACCTCTGCGTTTCCTGAAACCACCACACCATGGGCAATATCAAGAACAATCTTACTACAATCACCATCTGCGACTTGTAGCTCTGAGCTTGAAGACTGTCCACACGGGGAAATACTCAAAACTCCAATGTTGCTATCAGTAAACACAATGTTCTTCCCGTTATTAAAAATATCCTGGTCACCAAATAACGGAACATTGGTGCTGTTGACAACAGTCATATTGCGCAGCTGTGTAATATATTTGCCTCTTCTTGTATACTCTGTTCTCAAAAACATCGAGCCATAGTGTATTCCAGATCCATATGCCCAATGCGGGTATGGATACATGAGGTAGTATCCGTAGCCCCAAGCACCCGAGTACTCGCTGCGAGTATTGGATGCGTAGTAAATTGCAGGCGAATGAGACGCAAACTTGTACGGTTTGATTTTCTGACCATATTTGACAGTTTTATATTTGGCGTTGGCATAGTACATTGGGTTGGGAGTATATTGTCGGGAGGAGTCGCCTTTGCCGGATGTGCTGCCCTTTGCGTTAAAGCCGCTGCGGTCCGGGAATAGTTCAGGTGTTAATGGTGGGTTGTCGCCAAGATCTCCGGAGCCTATTTGTTCCATGCCGCCACCGCCCTTGATTCCGGTATTCTTGCCATCAGACGCTGCCAAAACAGCCACTACTGTGTAAAGCAGAGCAAACGTAAAACTAAATGGCAGTAGATGCATACTAACTTATACAAAATTGTAATTTGTAAAAACAATGATGCATAAAAATATAGAAGAGAGGAAGCGAAGTAATTTCCCCTTTATAATGCTTGGGTGAGAAAAAGAAAAAGAAACATTTATTGCTTTATTAAAAGATTTGAAAAGTATCCCTCTTTTTTTATGGTAGGGCGCTTATTTCTAGCACTGCAGATTTTATTTTTTATTTTGTGGGCTTTGTCGGGCGTTGCTGTACATTGAGCATGCCAAGCAATAGAACAAATTGGGCTTCCATTTTTTACAATCAATTATCTATTTTATTTTGCGCAAAGAACCTGGATTGTTAGAAAATAATTCAATGTTCATTGGGATAAAATTAAGCCAACCAAAAGTTTGTTTAGCTTGTCAATAGTTCTAAGCATTCTATTGTTACACAGACTGAAGATATGAAAATGGATGTTGAGGTCGAGAATCGCGAAACAGGTTTCCACTTGCGTGCCGATTGATAGGATACTGATTGGATCATGCAGGCGTAAGGTAGGGTGGTATAATAATGATGCCCATATATGCTCCCCATTTTGCAATGCACACGCATGAGTGTACACACACGAAAACCACAACATTGACTTGCCAAGATACCGGTCTACTCACAGAAGATCCAGTTCTCACCAACGGAGCGCACAATTGACAATGTGCACAACAAAGGCGACAGGGCACATATATAAGATGAGGCTGGCCCCTAGTAGTACTTTAGAAACATCAGTAATAAAACCTTTTATAAAATCACCCCTAACTTTTAACACTAGACAACTAGTGCTCCTCAAACCCCCCTCTTACTATTACATTATAAAATAAAAAATTACTAAATATGAATAACAGTTAAATAACTGAGCTTAAACAATTTTTTAGTAATAAATGTATGTCACAGTTAAAGTACATGACTTTGCAAGTTGCCTTACTAATATTAATTGATTACGCGTGTGGCAATTAAGAAATAATGATAAGTTTTTATTAGTCTATTTATGTGCCAAGGAGAATATATAAAAGGTGTGGCTATCGGGCAGCCAGGAATTGTTCTCCTTGGAAGAAATAAATATCCTTTTGATTTATACCCATTTGTAACATATATTGTTGCAAACCTGGCCAATGTGGGCCAGTGGGAAAAGACAAGCCAGCTACCAGTAAATGAGTTTATAATAAATATAAAGTATATTAAAAAACTAAGGTGCTTTTATCCTCATAGCAGAAACACCTTAGTATATATATCAAAGGCAAACTATGATAAGTGCGTGGCATCTCCTGTGCCGCACACATATACCCAAATATCAAAACAGACCACAATAGCAAAACAAATGCAATTTATACTATTGTCAGGATCTGGAAAAAAACAGATTCAATCATGAACATCGCGCGGCTTCGCAATCGATGTGGTTGGATCAAAGCGTCGGGTGACGTCCTACATCTGTCTGATGCATCTGTGCGCGCCTGCGGGTCTCAGCCTGGGTTGGTGGCCTGGATCGCAGCCCCCTGTGGGGTTCTCAACAATATAGCTTCTTACAAAGCATACTCTTTCTAAATAAATTTGCGGCTGAGCGTCCAAAGTAGAAAATTGAATTCATTTATTTCTTTTGCGCGAGCAAATAATTTAAAAAAATAGTTGCCAAGTTTTTAAAAAAATTTAAATCAAGTGCCCCTGTTGATTTTATTTGTCAACCTTTTGCGCATTCCTACAAAAGCCAGGAATAAAGTGACCATTAGAAAGGCGCCTATGTCACACCGCACACCAGTCAGTTAAAATTTGAATAGTAGAACGTAAGTGCTCATTGCTTTAGCATACCTTGCAGTTTACTTGCTCGATGCTGGATGTGGAATATGTCTTTGGGGTCTATAACGTAATAATAAAACAGCAACAGTCATTTGGCAGTCAAAGTTTGTATTGGAAGGATTATTTAGCCACAGATAATAAGTATTTACGCACGTCACAAATATATGTAAAACAAATGTAGCCCTGCCTTGGTTCAGTTCGCAAATCCTGCAGGTTGTTTAATATATTATTATTGTATTCCGAATTGATATTTGCTTGTATGAATATTGTCTTTCCTATAGCGCGTACTACGGACGCGCTTGCCCCGTAGCTTGGAACAACTGCGTTGGACGCAGCGAGGGCTCAAGCAATGTAAAGTGGTGCATGTGCCCATGGTGACAAGCACCCCTGTTGCGCGCACTTATCACTGCCATGCCGGGTTATTCTGCTATTTTCAGCTAACAATTATTATTATCTATCCAAAATTTGTGTATATTAACTTTACAAGCTTCTAATCACTGGTTCCGCACATAGAACAGCATATACGCGGCCGACGAAGCCACTTTATCCTCAGGAACCGGCGCCACGCGGGTGTCGTCAAAGTAGTTCCACTGGCCACGCAGCCCGTTAAACACGCTCGCAGTGTAGTGGCCAGAGGACAGTGTGCCGTAATGGTTGGCCACCGCATACAAGTTGTACGATGTCGTCGACTGCTGGCGCGCATCAGGCATCATATAGGTATCCATCTGCAACTGCCGCGTGGGAAACACAGCATTGGTCTCGAGCTTCTCGCGGAAATGCCCAATGGTTGAGAACCTTTTGAGGTGCACAATGAGAACAAGTGGCAGGCGCGAGATCAGCATCCGCTTACTTGCCTTGCGCCCGGTCTTGCACCGCGGGCAGTGCCACTTATTGTCGCCGTCAAGGATCTCGCTCCCCGAGAACGCATCTAGGCATTGGTAGATGGACACGGGGGTGCTGCTCTTGCTCGACGACTTGCGCGACAAAACTGCGGCACTACTGGGCTTGGCTTCGGGCGTCGGAATGGGCACAGAAAGTTCAGTGAACGTAAAGTACGTGGTCGATGTGTGTTTGCACAAAAGGCATGTCAAGCGCGACTGCACTTGGCCTTGGAAGATGCTGGTCATGATCGACCAGTTGCGGCGGATATACCGCTCCCACTGTATGTTCGCCTGCTGAAAGTCCGGCAGGTGCTCAAACTGGATCTCCTCGTCGGGCGTCATGTCGCTGTCTGGCGGCGGACGTGGGTGTACGCGGTTCAGGGACTCATGCAGGGTGTCGAGCACAAACAGGGCAAACTCCTGCGCGTCCTCCTGGTCGTTGCCCTTGAATTGGGCCGAGCAGTTGCCGACTGCCGAGCGGAAGCCAATCGGCGACAGCGACCCGTACTGCCCGCACCACATGTTTTCGATAAGGCGTGAGAACTCAACAACTACATCGGAGTAGCTGGTCTTGGAACCGCGAACCAAGTCCTTCTTCCAGCCTCCCTGCAAAAAGTACCGCGCAAATGGGACTGTGCCGACTAGACATTGGATGACGCAGTTCATGAAACATGTGTTGCCAAAGTTCTTCAACCCTGTCATGCCAATAGCCGAAGAGTACAGCGCTGCTGGAGGCTGTACCTGCGCTTGTGCAGGCACTCTGGAATCAATGCGCGGCGCTGAATTGTAATTGGGTTCAACAGAAAGAGCAATGGCAAATTGCCCGGACTGATTGCACGCAAACGAGTTGCGAATGTTGCCGCCAGTGTGCATGCGCCCGTTGAGCGATGGGTCGGATCCTGCAGCGACTGGGTAGTTGTAAAAGCCGCGGCTGTTTGCAGCGGCAGACTGCATCTGGGCATGTTGCTGCTGCTGGTTGTGCTGCTGCTGCTGTTGGTACTGTTGGTATTGATACTGCTGATATTGGTACTGCTGGTTGGCAGGAGGCGAGTTGGCGTATTCGAGCGACTTGAGGGGTAGCGGCGCATTGGGGACGTGGCTCACCAATTGGGGATTCTGCTGAGTCTGGGTTTGCAAAGTGGCCTGCTGAACACAAGCTTCTGGTTTGGGCTGCAGTCGCAAAGTGGGGATAGGCGGCGGCTGCCTGCGTTTTTTTGCTGGCTCTGCAATCATTTGTTGTTGCTGCTGCTCCTTGTTTTCTGCATGGTTCGCCTTCGCCGTCGCAAAGTGTATGTCGGTTGGCATAGATACCGCAGTGTACTCATTAACATTTGTCCTGCCGCTGTACGCTGGCCCGGTGAATCCGTAC